TTCCTGGCTGTCTAGCGCGGCTTGTGAGAATGCTGAGAACTGCGCATGGAATTTGCCAAGGGGAATTGAGTAGGGACGCACGAAGTGAGCGCTGGGAGGCAGAAGGGTACCTCTAGATAAGTGCAGTCTTGGGGAGCACTGCCATGAGCACACTAAGGCTGAGAATAACTTGTTACCTTACACTCATAGAGCTGCATAAATTACTATTTTTTTCAATAAAAGGAAGCAGTTACTGGCTCTGTGTAGGTCTTTAGCTCTAAATCCAGGCATGCCCAAACTGGATAAATGATATTACTTGGAATAAATCTCTACTGATTTATGGAATAATAATCCAATGAACAAGTTTACCTCTCCAGAAATTAGGCACTGCACAGTGTTCTGAATGGAGTAGAGCTGATCCTTCAAGAACATGGTCTTGGACTGAGTGGGTGCACTTACACACAGGCTTTTCAATAGAGTTGGCCCTTCGTATAGTGGATTCAACCAACTCAGGATCAAGACCAGTATTTACACATTCCCAACTACTGTTTCCGATCGTGGATTCCCAACCACAGATGGAAAATACTGTTTTTGATCTTCGGTTGGTTGAATCTGCAGATGCAAAATCTGTGGATGCAAAACGTGCTCATGCGAAGGGCTGTCTCTAGTTCAGTTTGGGGGGAGTAAAAAGTTATACCCAGATTTTTAACTATTGGGGCTGGCACTCCACCACCTTGTATTGTTCAAGAGTCAACTGTATATCTTTTTATTGTTTTGCCAGTGGTTTAATTTTCAATCTTGCTATTGCTTGTTTGTCATCCCCCTCAATTCATATGTTAAAATCCTAGTCCCCCCAAAAGGCATGGTATTAGTAGGTGGGACCTTTGGGAGCTACTTGAGTCTTGAGGATTGGAGCACTCATGAATGGGATTAGTGCTCTCATAAAGAGATCCCATAGAGCGCCTATCACCTTCTGCCAGGGGACAATACAATTAGAAGTCTGCAACCCAGAGGGGGACCCTCACATACTTATTGGGACCCTAATCTCAGACTTCCAGCTTCCAGAACAGAGAGTAATAAATGTTGATTGTTTATAAGGCTCCTGGTCTATGGTATTTTGTTATAGCAGCCTGAAAGGACTAGAATCAATCTTATATTTAAACAGAGTTTACTGGATGAGACATACAGAATGTTATTTCACTGATTCAGCACACGTTTGTTCTGACCAATCCTAATAAATTAGATGAATTTTAATAATGATTATCTCCTTTAAAAACTATTATTATAAAAACACTCCCAAGTTCTAAAAAACAAGGATGCATTTTGTTTATAATTAATATGCTACAATTATTTCGCGAGTCTACTTTACTTTTTGTGAATTCTTAACTTTGTATTTCCATAATTGGTACATAACTAGGTTTCCTTTAAAAAAAATCTTCATAATTTTAAAATGGTGCTGCCCTTTTCTAGAGAATATATAAACATATGGATAATGAAGCAGTCAAGGAGAGATTTGAAATAACCTTTCTGAGCTTCTAAATAGTTCTTATAAGATGGCTTTTCCCCCTGTTGGTTTAGTAACAGAACTGAAAGGCACTTTCCCAATGGGCCATTATTTCAGTCAGTGGCCCCAGCCGACCACCCTGCCTGTGGTGGGGATCATAGAGCAGATGGCATATTATGGAGATGACATTAGGAGCAATTATTCCACTGCTGAGTATTAGTATTCTGCACTTTGTGATGCATGGTAAGCCTATATTGTGTAGTACTTCGGAATTAGAAAATCTAACAAAGTAAACCAACAAAGTAAGTGTCAGGGAGTTTTCCCTTTGTCCTTATTTCTTTGAGAAAAGAAAGCTATTTTTCTGATCATTTTGAAATATGCCAGTATCTCTGATTAGGACTCCTAAAAACAGGAAGAATTTTGAGTTAATTTTTCCATTTGGCTAGGAATCCAGGGATGTTGCCTTAAATGTTCTACCCTCTAGACCAGTGGTTCTCAACCTTCCTAATGCCGCGACCCTTTAATACAGTTCCTCATGTTATGGTGACCCCCAACCATAAAATTATTTTCATTGTTACTTCATAACGGTAATTTTGCTACTGTTATGAATCGTAATGTAAATATCTGATATGCAGGATGTATTTTCATTGTTACAAATTGAACATAATTAAAGCATAGTGATTAATCACAAAACAATATGTAATTATATATGTGTTTTCCGATGGTTTAGGCGAGCCCTGTGAAAGGGTTGTTCGACCTCCAAAGGGGTCGCGACCCACAGGTTGGCGACCCACAAGTTGAGAACCGCTGCTCTAGACTAACTGACAAAAATAATGTATTATTCTAGGGATTTCATTAAAAAATGAGAATGCGCATATATTAAAATCCATTCAAAAATATAAATGCATCAGTTGGCTATTGCTGCTCTAGCAAATTGCCACAGATTCAAATTTAGTGGCTTAAAACAACACAAATGTATCTCTCATGATTCTGAAGGCCATTAATATCTCTGTCCTAAAATATTATGATTCCATATAAGTGTCATGAATTCAAAATATGTCTAGATTTTAGAAATGAGAACTATAAATATTGATTTCACTCTCAGTATGTATTATCTCATATTTATTACTGCCTTTTTTTACTCACATATAACTGTTCTACATAAGTCCATTTAAGATGTTTTTGCGTATGCTGCACACACATCCATTAGTTTCTACTTTGCAAAGCCGTTTCCTTCTCCAGTCCATGGTCTTCTATTATAAGCAAGTTATTTCAAATTGCATTGCAAGGACTTCTTTTAAGGTGGTATTATTTTACTATGTCATTATATGTACGCTTTGCACATTTTCACAATCAGGATTCAAAAGCAATTACTATAATTGGTTGCTGGGTATAAATAGGATATGTTGGCTATAAAGAATCAGCCTTAAAAATTATTTTTTGAAATGCTGAATTTGGTTGTGTAAGAGAGAAGTTTCTCAGCATAATGTTCATTTGCAAGCAGGGCAAAACCCAACTATGAGGAGTGTTCAAACGTAAGTTTCTAGTTTTTCAGGAGATGGTTATTTTTGAGTTTTGCTTTGGTCACTGGCCCTAAATCAAATGCTTAAATGTGTTCAGAAACAAAGGTATTTCTGGCTATTGGAAGAAAGAGCACAGTGGATGCAGGTGAACACTTGGCTTTGGCTACCGCTGACAGTTGATTTTGTTCTTGAAGGAAACTCGGTGGCTTTTTTAGCTCACTCTTAGAGCAAAGAGCGTTCCTGGAAGATCCGAGATCGGGTTTATAAAGTTTATCACTAAATCAATAACATAGGGATAAAGAGATTGAGCCAAGCTTTATTACACGTGCTGAGCTTAAAATTCGTTTTATTTTTGCCTCACAGTCTGAATGACTACAGAGTGTTCTCAGTTAATAAATTAGTTACAGCATAAAAATACTTCAAGGTAAGCCATCTACCGGGTCCAGTCCAAAAGAAAATTCTTTATTTTTTTCCCTGGCAGGTATCACTTGTCTTGCTTTAGCCTTCTCCTATATAGGTAAGGCAGAGAGAAACTGACTTGAGTCTAATTACCACCTCTTGGTGGTGGTTAGGGCGGAGGCACAGACAGCAGAATGGTGAGGGACCCAAGAAGTGGCCACCGTGGAGGTGTGCTTCATGGTACTCTGAACTCTAGGCCAGGAGAGGATGACTGTCCTTGTCTGGTAGGAGTTCACTCATACATTCCCATTTACAGGTTCTACACACCCTTACGGTTGGTAAGATTTCCACACTGTCGTAAGCTTTATGGTAAAGAAGCTGATGTGAACTCTGCTCCGTTGGTACTTTTGAAGATACATGGGGCACCTAGCAGGCAGAAAATATATTATTTGGTGTGTAACATCAGCTAGAGTCAGAAGATAGAGGACTCGGTGCACAAAAAAATGACTAAGGGAACATACAGATTTGTTACATTCACTACACACTCTAAATTAGATCTACCTGCAAGGTAAGCCATCTACCGGGTCTAATATTATGGAAGCATCCTTTGTGATTGCTTAACTACTATATTCTGGCAAGTAATAATTTGGGATTCAAGGAATAAAAAGATAGATAAAAACTAGTGTTCAGTTTCTCTGAATATCTTCAGCCTATTTTTTCACGCAAATGAAGCTTTCTAGAAATGTTCACATTACTCATGCTTGTAATCAAATTTACATGTTTATTTGCTCATTTCAAAAATCTAAGGTGAAAGTTATATTTGTAATGTGTACACAGTATGTGGATATAAGCATTACCTATGACCCCCAGCTATCAGTCCTGTCATTTTATACATTAGTCCAGAATTTGTGAACAAGAATTTGGCTGAAATCAGTGACTCTTTCTCTTTTAAATGTAACTATGAAAGGTCTAATTTGGATATCTCATGAGCTAAATCTTCTTAAAGAATTGCTGGCAATAATGTGCCTTTATTATTCTTTTATTACTCTAAAGTCCCCTGTTATTTTTCCCAAGTCACCTATTTTATAGAATTTGCATACTATATTAAACATGAGAGTATGTGTCTTCATTATCAAAAAGTATATATGGTCATTTTTATAATACAGAGAGCTTTCAAGAAAATTTCACTAGAGGCATTTCAGATGCTCTTAGATACCCACTAAAATAAATGGTTCTAGAAAATAAATGCAAAGCTGAAAATATTTTACTTCAGGTGTCAGGTAGCAAGCAGCCCAATATTTTATTCTGACAGACCAGGAGAGTGAATTTTGAATAGAACCACAAGACATATGTATGAGAAAAGTGTGTGGCCATTTCTCTGGAGGTGTATAGATCACTGAAAACTCAGAGAAAGCCTCAGAAATAAAATGACTCTTGTCGATAGTGAGTGATGATCGTGTGGGGTGGAAGGCTCACAAGGATGTCAGTGGCTTTTGTTATAATTCAGAGAAGCCCCCCAAAATAGCACATAAGATTCTAAACTCTTTAAAGCAGAAGTCCCCCCCGACACACACACTTTCCTTCTTTCATTGCAGGATTACAGAGTGAATATCTTTCTTCGTCAGAAATGGAACGATCCTCGCCTTGCATATAGTGAATATCCTGATGACTCTTTAGACCTAGATCCTTCCATGTTGGACTCCATTTGGAAACCTGACCTGTTCTTTGCCAATGAAAAGGGTGCCAACTTTCACGAAGTTACTACAGACAACAAACTGTTAAGAATTTTCAAGAATGGAAATGTTCTTTATTCAATAAGGTGAGTTACAGACTTAAATTCCTGATTTTGTTGGAAAAGTGTTGGGTTTTATTTATTTGCTTTTAGTGAGTGTTTTGAAATTTTTGATTAACTGCTTTCATGGTTCCACCTAAATTACTTTAATGTACTATTTCCACATATGTCTAATCAACAATAGCAGACCCAAGTTTTAGATCCAGAAACTGTATGAATAATTCTTGGAAATCCGCTTTTTTAACAAATAGCCCAGGTACTTAATCAGCCAGGTGGGTGAGTGATTTAAGGGCAAATGAAATGGTAGCCAAATCATACATTGTGATTACTAGTATGTTTTTATGTATCATACTCTTGTAATATTTACAGGTGAAGAAATATAGAGATTTGTTTCTCTGAGATCCATTTTCCATAAAATATTTTTCAACGATATGTTTTTTTTTTTAGATTTCCTGAGCTTCTCTGACTATCCTTTAGAAAAGACTTTATTTACATTTTAGTTATTTGGAAGTTAATTCTTAGAAGATCGTGTAGCCTTTTACAACTAATACCAAAAATATAACAATAATTAATACCAAAACACAAACATCATGCTAATGTATTGTGTTTTTCATATTTTCCTATTTCATGTGAATAAATTTCCTTTCAATACATACATTACTTTCTGAGGGTGAAAAGGCTACATCACTCTACTCTTACCTGACACTTGTCACATTGCTGAAAACTGACTAATATGTGTTAATATAATCCTGAATAATTCATTGCTACATAAGATATAAAGGAAGATTTCAGACTTCATCAGTAACTTATCCCTATGCTCCCAAATGAATAAATGACTTAATGGTGAATCCCAGGTAAAAGCAAGAGAATTTTAAACCTTTTTGGAAAATTACTATAAAAAGTATAAGAATCAAAAGATAGTGGGAAGATGGAACTGCAGCTTAGGCCTGCTCCCCGCTGGCAAGTGGACATCCCCCGAGGGCTCCTGGGCTGCCAGAGGGATGTCTGACTGCAAGCTTAGGCCCAATCCCCCAGGGAGCGAGAAGGCATAGGCTGGGCTGAGGGACCCCCCGAGTACACACATTTTTGTGCACCGGGCCTCTAATGTAAGCATAACTGTGCATGTAAAATTACACATCTATGTAAGACTATGCAAGACTTCAGAAGGATGCCCAACAACTGGTAGAAAATAACCAACTATTGAAATAAGTGATTGAATTTGGGTAGGAATAAAGGTGGCTGCAAGAATATATCACCAGATGAAATGGAATAATCATTTTGCAATTATGATGTCTAGAATATTTCCATTGATAGAATTGAAATACAGTGTCCTATATGATTTTGAATAATTAATTTTTATTATATGTGAGTTTATATTATTTGAATTCTTCAGAAAGAGTTATATATTACTTATGAGTTAGATATACATATTTTTTGATGAGAGATTGAAACTCCAGGTCATAATCCTTGATTCTTCTTTGTTTTGGATTCATGATGGATATCAGGGAATCCATGACAGGCTGCAAATAAGCAAGTTAAATTTTCCTGTTAACTTGAAAATTTGTGAAAGGTATGATTTATTTTTAATTATAAGGTACTGTTTCATTGCAGACAGATTTTGGCTGCAAGAATATATCACCAGGTAGCATGGAATAATAATAGTCAGAGAAGCTCAGGGAATCTAAAAAATTATGTCAGGAAATCCAAAAAGTCATAACGTCTAGAATCTTTTCATCAATAGAATTGAAATATAATGTGTGTGTGTGCTAAATGATTATGGATATTTACTTTTTTATCATCTTATTGGAATTGAAAAACAATGCTATCCATTATGAATTGCTCACATTTCTTTTAATATTTTGAGGAAAATTATGGAATAATTCAGAATTGCATTTTTGTCTTTTCTGTATGAATTCAGATGAAACAGGATGATGTCTCTCAGCTCCCAGTTTTTGTTTGCTATATCCTGGCTCACATGATCAAAGACTAAATTTGTTTTTCTATGAGTTGTTTTTGGAAATCTCACAGTACTTTGAAATCTTCAACTGGCAAACAGTTTCTTTGTTAACAAAAGTTGTGCTAGGAAAAAAGTCTCATTCAATTTACAAATGGAGCATCTGTGATGCTTCACGAGAGATCTGGCTTTCCTAGTTGTTTTAAGAAAGAAGCAGAATGTCCTGGCAAACCTGACCTATTTAACTTACCCATTTATCTGTACTTTCTCCTTCAAACCACTAAAATAAAGAAGTAAACTAAATAAGGAATAAAGTGGCCCTGACACACAGGAGGGTGAAAGGAAGGGAAAAGAAGACTGTGACAGATGAATGATGACCACATGCTTTAGGAAGCTTGAAAGTGAATGCACTCGGGAAAACTGACTTAACAGGCAAAGATAGCTGAATGTACGCCAAAGTGAGGAACTCAGAAGGAAGACATATTACCCTCAAACTTTTAGAAATTTGTGGCAGCGAGGACTTCAGAAAGTAGGGACTAGACAAGAGATCAAAGAGAAAGAATCAACTTAAACTTTGTGGGAACATCAGCGAGCTTTCTATTCCTAATTTTCCTCATCTACTATGTCCTTTAGATGAGGGGCTGCCTTTGTGCCTTCTGACCTGAGCAGAAAGCAAGACAGAAAGCCTCAGAGAGCCTGTGCCAAGAACCTCACAAGTAGGGACTACAGGCACAGCTGGGTCTGTCATAAGCATCTTACCAAGAAAATAAGGATTACAAGGGATACACTAAACGGTGATACCCCTGTTCTCCCTTAAAATGCTGAAAACCAGACCGAGGCTTTTACTGAGCAGTAGTCAGAAGAATATGCCTCTGGAGAAATTAACTTGCCCAACAGAAAAAAATACAGATATCGACATTTAGGGAACCTCCAATGCAAAATCTGGGTGGTCATATAATCATTTTACAGATAAGACTATTACCCAATGAACCATCCACTAGTAATTGAGCTCCAAATAGTTTTTAGTGCTTTGTTCTTATATATAAACAGACATTTGAGGACATCTTATAATATTAACAAGAATAAAAAAGAAGCAGATGTCAGAAGAAACATGCAAAGAAAATAAAGATAAAAGAGGAAAATTAAAGAAACAAAAAGAGATGAATGATTTAAGGGGAAGTGCAGGGAGCAGAAGAGACCATAAAAAAAATCTCTGGAGAGATGAGACAACTGGATACATGAAATAAGATACTTCTAGGAAAGGAAAATGAGTCACTCAGAGCATAAGAACAAATAGTAGTCCTAACTGGTTGGCTCAGTGGACAGAGCATCGGCCTTCTGACTGAAGGGTCCCAGGTTCAATTCTGGTCAAGGGCATGTACCTTGGTTGCAGGCACATCCCCAGTGGGAGGTGTGCAGGGAGCAGCTGATCGATGTTTCTCTCTCATCGTTGTTTCTAACTCTCTATCCCTCTCCCTTCCTCTCTGTAAAAAATCAATAAAATATATATTTTTAAAAAGATCAAATACTAAACCAGAGTGTGTGTGTAGGGTGGGGGCGGATAGTAGAATACTTGGAATGATGATGTGAAGGAGTCTCCCAAGAAGTAGAAGCAAGATACCAAGAAATAGGAAACAGAGAAATTATTTGAAAAGCAGAACATCAATTCAAGTCCAATATATGACTAGCGGATGCTGACTGAGGACACGAAAGTCCTGGGTCGGAGACAAAGGAATGTATTACTCACTGCCAACAAGCAACACAAGCATCCCCATATTTGCCTTACTTGTCCCTTGTCCTCAAGTCTCATTGGAACCGTGCAACAGGCCCAGATTAATTTAACACACACCATGGGTCTGTGTCACAGCTCCGAAACACGGAGTTTGGGGAATGCACGGCTTTTATAGCAAAATACAAGCCAGCCTTCTCTTCTCCTGGGGAACAACATGATCACATCCCTCAAAATTAGCAGCTGCATTGATAACCCTAAGAAATGACAAAGGTAAAAGAATAATCAAAGCCTTGTGGTCTTGGTACACCTAACAAGATGTCTCCCAACCCAGATCAAGCCTCTACAATTTACTAGCTGTGATTTAGGGCAAGTCTCTTTACTTGAGAAAAATAAATTTTTGTTTATAATTTAAAAAGCAGCTTTATTGAATTGTAATAAACTACAAATATTTAAAGTATGCAATTTGATAAGTTTCAACATGTGTATTATACTTTCATGAAATCATCAGCACAATCAAGATAGTGGAGGTATGTATCACTCTCAAAAGTTCATGACCCTTACAATTCTTGCCCCTCAAACTCTGCCCTACTCCCCCATCTCAGAGCCACTACAGATCTGCTTTTTGTCACTATAGATTAGTTTGTGTGCCTGAAATAATATATGTAAAGCACCCAGCATACTACCTGGCATATAATAGGCATTGAGTTGTTAATTTTATATTTCTAAAAAGCAAACAAAAAACTAAACTGAACAAAAAAAATAAACCACAAAAAAAGGCTTAAATTCTGATATTTTCCAGAATCCTCAAATTAGCCCTATAAGGACTCTTGCCATTGTCCTTATAACACTAAATTTAGAAATATTAGAAAGTCATAAAAATACTACTTATTTTCATAAAGAGCATAAAATGGAGTGACAAAGCATTTTTTTAATACGTCAGTTAATGGTTGAGATAGACAGCACACGCTAGGGCAGAGCTTGCTCAAAAAATGGGTAATATGTCAATTTTAATGAGGTCAATTGTCACATATTATAATCATTTTTTTTAACATTTCTACTTCTTCACTAAGCCAAGACTTCGCCATATCCTGTTTATGTGTCTTGTCCCAGAAAGAGAACTCAGTGTCCTCTCTCAACACAAAGAAGATTCTCATTTCCAAAACAGTAGAATGTGATTAATTACCTTTTGATTTCGTTTTCTTTTGATGTGATCAGGACAAATCACAATTTACTTGTAATGTTTTGATGAAGAAATTCAATATCACACCCACAACATCGACACATATTTTTTCATTCATATGCTGTTAAAGAAGCAATTGTGTCCTGTCATAAACAAAACGAGTGTCAATAAATAAATGTTTTTCAGGATGTGATTTATGACGAGTTCTAGTGTTTTTTCCCCCCACATAATTCTTTTCAAGCACTTTTTTTAAAAAAAGAATTATGTAATGTCTCTCATTTTATGCCAGAAAAATAGCCAGGATATGAATTTGACATCACATGCATGGTGAGAGCCTGGAAAAGGTTCTCAGAATGCTATTTACTTCCGTACAAAAGGTCACAGAGTTCATTCTGCAAGCCAAAATTTAGAGCTGGCTGGCCAGTGGGCCTTGGATGTCTGGAAAATTAATGTGCATACACTCAACACGTACTTGTGTACACACCTCTAATAAACCCTTTCTCAAGACAGAGAACATCATGTCCAACTGATTTTACAACTGCCTTTTTAAGGGAGAATTTTGCAAATCTACAAAAATCATGCTTACAGACTCACTCAACCTAGCTGAGCCAGGAGAAAATTGCTTTTGAATTGTGAACTCTATGAATTATGTTCATGTGTTATGGACTCTGACTTGAGTGAACTGTCAAATGACCCTCCCGGGAATCTTAAACATTTAGCAGTTTCACATGTCCGTTCATTTATGTCTCTCAAACTATGTTCATTGGATCTCACCGAGAGTCTTCACTGTAGAACACACACCATTACAACTTTAATGCATGGTCTGTATCATAATGCTATTTTGGAGAATGTGGTTCATTTACTAGAGCTGGTAATTACTTTTGTAAAAGCTTGTATTTTGATATAAGCTTTAGGATTTAATCCAGTCATTTTGTGCCCATCCTGTATAATTTGGTGGAGGGGGAGATAGGGAAGGCTTAGAGTGGTGGAATGTACTAGTCACCCTTAATTACTAATATTTATTGAGTGTTTGCTGCGTGTAAGCACTTATCAAAGTTCTTTACATGTATTACTAACATATTTATCACATCTCTCCAGAGCAGATACTGTCATTTCTTCATGTTAGAGAGGTGAAAACTGAACCATTATGGGGTGAAGTAATCTGACTATGGTCATAAAGTTTAAGTAAACAACTCCGCCTAGGGCGCTCATCAATGTAACAAATTTCACTGGGAATACTTGCTATGACAGGAGCTGGCCAGAGAGATCTCAGAAAAAACTTGCTTTAAATAAACTTGGGTTTGATTAGATCTGGGCGTATTTTTCTCAGGTCCAGGAACTACAAAGTCTTGGTAATCCCTGAAGATATCTTGGTAATAAACTTTTCCAATAAAAAAATAAATAAATTCAAAAGTGATGAATGGTTTGGGATGCCTACATCCAAATACTTTCTGGAAGAGGGAAAGTGCCAGTGTACACCATCCAAGTCACTTGGCGTGAAGCCAAATCAGAAGTCTGTTTGGTGAGCATGGAAAGATGTCACACCTATTCTAGAGGGCTGTTACTTGACCCTGATAAGACCTGGTGACATGCCCTAGTCCCACAATGGGAAACCCCACTCTATCACCTAGAATTGTCAGTTCTAGGTAGGACTTGACAATTCTAGGGAGTAGATTCAGAGTTTATTCCCCTGCTGAATACTGCTGGATGTTCGTGACAACTTCTTTCATGCAGTTACAAAGATGACAGGGAGTTGTCACAAAGGATTGCATCTCTGCGCTCCAACTTACCACGTTTAGAACTCCAATTCCCAGGATATACTTGCCTCCTCAAATATGCTCCATGTGATTTGGGGGAAGTGTATTCTTTGGCATTTGGTGTTCATTTTATCGATCTCACTCTCAGATTTCTTTTTTGAAGATCTCTTCTGGAAATAAAGACTTCTTTTAGATGTCTATAGCCATCTCTAAAGGGAAAAAAAGGATAGATAAATATATGTGATTGGATGTTTAAATATACAGCTCTTCTCCCTTCCCCCGAAATCAGATTTATATATAAAGGTACAGCTGTTTCAGGATAAATAACAGCCAACTTGGAACAAATCTTATTTGAATAAACATTAGTCACTACCGAGAGCAACTTTGCTTTCCAATTGTACCCTGAACAATATAACATTCATAGGATGTCATAATTTTTTTAAAGAATAATTGCTTTGAATTTCTTCAGATTGACATTAACACTTTCCTGTCCAATGGATCTCAAGAATTTTCCGATGGATGTGCAAACGTGCATAATGCAACTGGAGAGTTGTAAGTACAAACAACTTACTTTTTCTGAATACTTTAAAAAATATAGTAGATATAAAAGGTTTTTAATGTATTCTATAGATAATTTATTTTGTAATTGTTGTTGTCAGATATTTACTAAATAAGGTTGGTATTTCTCACCAGGTATTGAGAGTCATGATGTCTATCAACATGTGCACTAAATGCTATGATAAAGAAAGAAATTGGGGACTAGGGATAATAGTTTTTAAGCTTGAAAAGCAGTTTTATGTCTCTTTACACATTATCAAAGGTAAAAGGATAATAATCATTAAAACTGAATGATCACTTGTTATTGATTACCTGATATAGACCAAATAGTTTGCATATGTTATTTCTCATACAACGAAGATATTGTTATTGCCATGTTTCCAGATGTGAAATGGTCCTTCTGAGCAATTGAGTTTTGTGCTCCAGTTCATGAAAGTTGTCACAACAGACCATCTGGGTCCAAAGTCTATGCTACTCTGAACTATTATGCTGCTCCTCAGCTAATGTTTATTCAGAGTATACTCTGCAGGGTTTGTTATATATGTCATCTTAGGGGAAAAGAAATTTTTCACACTTTATCAGAGATTCAGCCAAGGTAACAGACATTTTTTTAAAAAATTTCTTCTTTCAAAGTGGATCCAAATACATCACTGATTAATGTCAACACATAAGAACTTCAGGTCCTTCTGTTTCTCTGAACTTATCTATATATAGTCAACCTTAAATTAATTGGTATGCAGGTTTAATTTTAATGCCATACAAAAAATATTATTCAATATTTTTTCTTAAGGCACTATGTTATATCTTTTTTTAAAGTTTCGTTTTGATATATTCCTTGAGGAAAATTTAAAGGTGAATCTTCGGGTTTGCAGGCCTGAGGCAAGGTTTGTAGTGTGGGGGAGCTGTCACTAGATGGCGTGCCTACTTCATGGGGGAGTGAGGTCACCCTCTAAATTGGGTTCTCTCTCTTTTATTTTTTTTTAAATATGTACATTTATTGTTGACAATATTACAGATGTCTCCCTCTTTCTCCCCCTTTACTCCTTTCCACCCAGCCCCTACCCACCCACCCCGCCAGGTCTTCACTACCCTATTGTCCATGTCCATGGGCTATGTATATACGTATATAAATTCTTTGGTTTATCTCTCCTTGCCCCCCCCCACTCCACCCCCACATCGAGGTATGTTAGTTCCATGCCTCCATGCTTTGGGTCTTATGTTGTTGGTCAATTCATTTTGTTCATTAGATTCCACAAATAAGTGAGATCATCTAATACTTATCTTTCTCAGAGAGGCTTATTTCATTTAGCATAATAGTCTCCAGGTCCACCCATGCTGTTGGGTTCTCTTAATGTAAGGAAGTGAAAATAGCTATTTCTCTGATAATAACGCCTTTCTTGTTAAATTTTAATGCATTAATTTTATAAGTAGTTCTTAAATATTAAGCGTACTCATCGATAAAGTACTAAATTAGATTAAAATAAAATAACCAAGTTTTAGTTGGGGGAGCTATTAGCAATAAAAATGGTGAAGAACAACAAAAGATTCCCAGCAATGTGAATATTTTTTATCTATATTATAAAGGCATTTTGAGGATAGGCTGATTCTGTATCCTGGTTGCAAAATTAGGTGTATGGGAAGATATTCAGATAAAAATCACATGCAAAATAGTCTAAGGCAAACTAAACCAGAGATGCTGGATGTTACCCAATAGGCAGTGAGGAGCAGGCCAAGATTCAGGAGCAAGAGCATGATTTGGTCAATATTATGCTCTTAAATATTCGTTCAGCCAAATGAACCAAGGTTACTTAAGAAGATTTCATATGGGAGTTTTATTTTTAATATTTTTAGGAAACTCCATACTGTTTTCCATAGCGGCTGCACCAATCCTCATTCCCACCAATAGTGCATAAGCATTCTTTCCTCTACATCCTTACCAATACTTGTTGTTTTTGATTTATTGATAATAGCCATTCTGACAGGTCTGAAGTGATATTTTATTGTGGTTTTAATTTGCATTTCTCTGATGATTAATGATGTTGAGGAGCAATTCCACTTCTGGGTATATATTCTAAGAAACCCAAACCACTAATTTGAAAGAATGTATGAATTCCTATACTCATTGCAGTTATTTATAACAGCTAAGATATGGAAGCAGTTTCTAATGCCCATCAGTAGATGAGTGGATAAAAAAGTGGAGGTACATGTATACAATGGAATACTACTTGGCCATAAAAAAAGAATAAAATCTTACCATTTGCAACAATGCAGATGGACCTAGAGGGTATTTTGCTAAGTGAAATAACCAGTCAGAGAATGACAAATACCATATGTTTTCACTTATATGTGGAATCTAAACACCAAAACAAACAAACAAACAAAATAGAAACAGACTGATAGATACAGAGAACAAACTGACAGTTGCCAGAGGAGAGAGGAATTGGGAAGTTGGGTGAAAAAGGTGAAGGTATTAATATGTACAAATTGGTAGTTACAAAATAATCATGGGGATGTAAAGTACAGCATAGAAAATATAGTCAATGATCCTATCTAATAGAAGAGAAACATGGTAATTAGCCGTACCTCTGCTACCCTTCCCATTGGCTAATCAGGGCGATATGCAAATTAACTGCCAGCCAAGATGGCGGCTGGCAGCCAGGCAGCTTGAAGCGAACATGAGGCTTGCTTGCTTTCTTCAGTGACAGAGGACTCCAATGTTCCCCGCCTGCCGCTGCCAGCCTCTGAGCTTGCAGTTTGAAACATTGTTACAAATATAGAAGCTAAACAAAACCCCAGAAACCTGCTTTCAGCCAGCTGGGATCTCAGAGCTGGAGTTGAAACAGTGTTTCAATTATAGAACCCAAACAAACCAGATACCTGCTTTCAGCAGCAGAGGCCTCAGAGCTGTAGCCAAGCCTCAGAGCTAAAGCTGGTCCAGAATAAAAAAAAATAAAAAAAGGAGTGGTTGGGAGCTTCAGTCACCCACCAGCCTGAAAACAGCCCTCAGCCCCTCATCCAGGCTGGCCAGGTACCCCAGTAGGGACCCCCATCCTAATCCAGGACACCCTTCAGGGCAAACCAGCTGGCCCCCACCTGTGCACCAGGCCTCTATCCTATATAGGAAAAGGGTAATATGCCTCCCAGCACCAGGATCAGCGGAGCCACGAGGCCTCCTGGCACTGGGATCAGCATGACAGGGGGCAGCATCCAAACCCCCTGATTGCCCTGCAGCTCTGTGTGTGACAAGGGGCGGGGCCACAACCTCCCTATCCACCCTGCTTTGTTCGTGACAGGGGAAGGCGCCCCAACCCCCTGATCAGCCCTGCTCTGTGCCTGATAGGGGGGAGCTCCCCAACCCCCTGATCGCCCTGTGGCTCTGTGTGTGACAGGGTGCGGTGCCCCAACCCCCTGATCGGCCCTGCTCTGTGTGTGACAGGGTGCGGCACCCCAATCCCCCGCCCCCACGGGCCCTGCTCTGTGTGTGACGGGGTAGAGCCATAACCTCCCCATCAGCCCTGCCCTGAGTGTGACAGTGGCAGCGCCCCAACCCCCTGATCCACCCTGCTCTGTGTGTGACAGGGAGCGGTGCCCCAACTCCCCTATCGGCCCTACTCTGTGAGTGACAGGGGGGAGCTCCCCAACCCCCTGATCAACCCTGCTCTGTGCGTGACAGGGTACGGAGCCCCAACCCACCTGATGGGCCCTGCTCTGTGAGTGACAGGGGGCAGTGCCCCAACCCCCTGATTGGCCCTGCTCTGTGCGTGAGAGGGGGTGGCGCTGCAACCTCCCCATCGACCCTGCCTTGAGTGTGACAGGGGGTGGCACCCCAACTCCCCAATCAGCCCTGCTCTGAGCCCGACCAGGGGCTGCACCTAGGGTTTGGGCCTGCCCTCTGTCACCCTGGAGCAGGCCTAAGCCAGCAGGTCGTTATCTCCCGAGCTGTCCCAGACTGCAAGAGGGCACAGACTGAGCTGAGGGAGCCCCTTTCCCCCCCAAGTGCACATATTTTTGTGCACCGAGCCTCTAGTATTATAATAACTATGAATGATGCCAGATGGGTACTGGAAATATCAGGAGGAATATTTTGAAAAGTATATGATTTTCTAACCATTATGTTGTATACCTGAAACTACTATAAAATAATATTAAATGTAAACTGTAACTAAAAATGTTTTAAAAAGTAAAAAGTTTCATAATACTCCAACCAAAAATAATTAAAATAGTGTCAAAGCAGAATGATGTAGAAGGTAGAAACATTAGAGGTTGATACTATAGGGGAGGCAAAATTTTATCTTTCCCTCTTAAACGTTTTTGTCTGGGCCTAAAAATTAAACAGATAAGACAGATTAACAGGAGAAAAGGTTACAGATTTATTTAATATATGTTTTATGTAACATGGGATCCCTCATCAATAAATAAAGACTCAAAGAAGTGGCAAAAGCTAATGCTTTCATACTAGGTTGAACAAAGAGAGGCAATTGTGGAAAAATAACTAAAGTGTGTGGGGAGGCTAATGGCAGATAAGAGTTATTTTAACAAGGTCTGTATGTACACAGTTCTATTGACTTTGATTCCTGTTGAAGAATGTTTCTTTTTTCTTGGTCCAAAGAGTACATCTTTTACATGCGAGTTTTTAGTTCCTGTTTTCAGGAAGAAAGGGGAAGATTAGAATGCCTTCCTTGCAACTGCTATTTCTCAAGTGCCTTTATCTCAAATACTCCTTATGTTAGGGTGGCATATTTTGGGGTGGCATATTTTGCCAGCCTTCATTTGCTCCCATACAAAGTTGATGTAAAGGTTCTGGGCTCCGATGAGTCAGAGCTAAAGCTCTTAGATAAGTAGAATCATATTAAAACTATTGGCAAAGAGAGAAAACGTAGGATGAAGAAGTAAATGCTGAAGGGAATATTGATAAATCTAAATCTTAATATATTTGAGGTTTGGGAAACTTAGGTATAAAGCCAAAGGGAGGAGTTAGAACTGGGGATACATTA